TTAATGACAATGCAAATAACATCTACGAAGCATTTTATAAAACATTGTTTTCCGTTTACGACGCTAATTTTCCAATTGTTGAAAAAATAATAAAAATTAACAAAAGCTCAAAAAGTCCCTGGATTACGAAGGGATTAAAAAAATCGCCAAAAATTAAACAGAAGTTGTATATTAAATATTTAAAAACAAAAACATCTGCTAGCGAAAAAATATAAAAAAACTACAAATATCTATTTGAAAAAATACGTAAAAACTTAAAAAGAAATTACTACTCAGAACTAAATTAATAAATTTAAAAACGATTTGAAACGTACATGGCAAATTATAAAAGAAATTACTGGAAAACAAAAATCGTGCTTAGGTTTTCTGCCGCACATGATTAAAGTTGATAACATAAGTTTATATGACCCAAGAGCCATATCCCATGAATTTAATAAATTTTTTATTGGGATAGGTCCTTCCTTATCAAATAGGATTTCAAATACGACGGCTTCTTTTAATGATTTTCTCGTACCTATGGATAGTTGCATTTGCTCTGATGAGTTATCTTCAGAATTATCTTTTGAGGAATTTGAAGTAGCTTTGAATTCTGTGAAAAGAAACAAAGCAACAGGAGCAGATGAAATTAATGGAAACGTAATTATAGATTGTTTCGATATATTAAAACATATTCTTTTTAAAGTTTTTAGAGCTTCTATAAATCAAGGAATTTTTCCAGAACAATTAAAAATTGCTAAAGTTACTCCTATCTTTAAAGAAGGTGACAGATCAAATATTAGCAACTATCGACCCATTTCTGTTCTTTCGGTATTTTCAAAAATTTTAGAAAGAATAATGTCTAATAGAATATACAAACATCTCAACAAAAATAACTTACTGTACAACAAACAATTTGGTTTTAAAAAAGATAACTCAACAGAGCATGCAATAATCCAGTTTGAGCATGAAATCTCAAAATCTTTTGAAAAATCACAGTACTTGTTAGGTATCTTCATTGACCTATCAAAAGCTTTCGACACGGTAGATCAATACATTCTGCTTCAAAAACTTGAATATTATGGAATTAATGGTATTGCCTTAAAATGGTTTAGAAGCTATTTAACAAAAAAAAAAACAATTTGTAATTAGTAACGACGGCTATCAAAATAATTGTCTTGATATCGTCTGCGGTGTTCCTCAGGGTTCAATCCTCGGGCCCCTACTTTTCTTGATATATATTAATGATCTGAATAAATCTTCTAACCTTATAAGCATTATGTACGCAGATGATACCAATCTATTCCTCTCAAACAGTAATATATACGAACTCTTTACTACTATGAATAAAGAATTAAAACATATATCAAACTGGTTTAAATGTAATAAGCTAACTTTAAATATTAATAAAACCAAATGGACTCTATTCCATTCGCATGCAAAAAAGCGATTTTTACCAATAAATTTGCCGCAACTTTTTATTGACGAAATTGAAATAAAAAATGATTTCGTTACAAAATTCTTAGGTGTTTATCTCGATGAAAACATCTCCTGGAATCAACATATTAATTATATATCTACTAAAATTTCAAAAAACATTGGGATTCTATATAAAGCTCGTAACTACTTAAATAAAAATTGCTTAAAACAACTTTATTACTCTTTTATCCACAGTTACATAAATTATGCCAACACTGCTTGGGGGAGTACTGTAAAAAGTTAAAACTTCTTTATCGTCGTCAAAAGCATGCGATCCGCATAACTAACTATGCTGATCGTTTTACACTCACAAAACCTCTTTTTACTGAAATGAGATTGTTAAATTTATTTGAACTCAATGTATTTAAAGTTTTATGTTTTGTATATCTATGGAGAAATAATCAATCCCCTACCGTTTTTAATAATACTTTCAAACTCAAACCTAACAACAAATACGACATGAGAAACATAAACTTTTTAAAAGAACCATTTTGTCACACAAAATTTAATCAATTTTGCATTGCTTATCGTGGACCCCACCTATGGAATAATATAGTTTTGCAGAATTTTGATTTACCAACTTCCTTTTACCTTTTCAAGCTCAATCTAAAAAAATGTATTATTTCACTTGATAATATACTCAGATACTTCTAATATTTTGAAAATTGTTATACAACTTGAATTCAGTACTTTCTTTATTTTAATTTTTACTTTATTTTTTAGTATCTTATACTGGTATTTATTTTGCTTGTTTGTGCTTTATAAGGTTCTGATGACAAGATCTTGTGATCTTCTTTCAGATCCTAGCTTATGTTTCATTTTAAGCAGTTTATGTATGTGCGCATCTACGCATTTGTATGTGTATATATGCTTATATTTATATATGTATGTCCGTGTTTTTTCTTATTTTAATTTAGTTGATAAATGTTGTAACACGAATTTAATTGTAACACGATATATATGGCATATATAATTGTACTTTGACATTTTAATGTAAGCAAAATTTAAAAAAATATATATATATATATATATATATATATATATATATATATATATATATATATATATATATATATATATATGTATATATATATATATATATATATATATATATATATATATATATATATATATATATATATATATATATATATATATATATATATATATATATATATATATATATATTTCATGGATTTTGTATATCACGGTTTATATAAAAGTCATGGATTTCGCAAAAAAGTGGTAGAAAAATCATAAACTTGTGATTTGACAAATTTAAGCACCTAATAAAATGGCACACATGTATCTGCGCCTTTCACGAGAACATTGTGGCTACGCCTTTTCACAATTTATTATGTAATAAAATTAAATTCTAATAAAATAATGTCAAGTAAAAAAAGTTCTTTCGCTGAATTTCAAAAAGGCGCCACCAGCTCCAAATTTTTTGCAGGCAGAGCGTTCGCTATGCCTACGCCTCTACAAAGGTCATATTATACTACAGTTTATTTAATATTATGAATAGAAAACTAGGTGCTAAGTAAAAAAAAAAAACAACCACCAGTTTTATCGCATTCTATTTTAATTTCTAGACAGATTAAGAATGATTGACAAGTTTTAGAATATAGTTTTATGCAGATGTAAAGTGCTTTTTGAATTTCATTTCTGACTCAATCATTTGTTTATTTCATTAGCAATATGTTCAGCAGTATTTTATTTATTAATTAATTTTTTTTTTCATTAATAAAAATAATACAATGCCGTGTTATAAAAATAAAATCTACATGACCGGGGCTCAAAGAAGACAATATTTGCCTTATCACTACACCCCAACGTGCTTTCCTGAGCAAGCGTGTATAACCATTAAAATGTAAACATAAAATTACTTTGTACATAAAACATAAAATTACTTTGTACCATTTAAAAATTATATACAAAAATATACAAGTATGTTAAGATCAGTTACTAATCTATAATCAAAAGAAAATCCTAAAAAAAAAAAAAAAAGTATCACGCTAAAGATAAGTTAATAGGATAACTAAAAAAAAATTTAAGTTGGTTAGACTAGTTAATAAGATAGTTGTTGAAAAAGAAGATTAAAGAATCTTAAAAAGAATTTAGTTCATTAACATCGTTAAGAAGTTTTTGTTTCAGTTGTTGTTTAAATAGAGAAAGTAAAGAACAATTTTTCAGGTGGTTATTTAATTTCAGGTGGTTATTTAAAGTGTTCCATAATTTAGTACCTCTGATGGCAATATAAAATTTAGTAACCAAATAGTGTATTTTAGGTTGCTCGTAATTGTAATTTGAAAATCGTGTAGGGTACACGTCATTATAGGAGTTAAATAATTATGTAGTTTATACATAAATATAAAAATTTGATAAAGGTTTAACTGAAGAACATTGAGTATGTGATGATTTTTAAATAGTTCTTTAGAATGTAACTTTACTTACATTAGAACTGCACCATGCAATACTTGCATAGTTTATATAACATTGTATGAGGGAGAAATATAAGATTTTTAAGCAGTTTTGGTTTAAGATTTCCTTAGCTTTAAATAATATGCCAATATTTTTCGAAATTTTATTTTCAATCGTTCTTATGTGTTCTCTCCATGTCAGGTTTTCATCAAGTATCACTCCTAAAAACTTTAATGATGACTCTCTAATTATTTTAGAGTTGCCGATGTAAAGATCAGGAAGTTTTAATGGAATATTTTCTTTATTTTGAAGTTTATGAAAAAAAGTAAACTTAGTTTTATTTAAATTTAAGGAAAATTTATTTGCTTTAATCCATTCCGCTAGATTTATAAATTCCTTGTTTACTATTTGAAATAAAAGGTTGACATCTCCAGTAGAATAAAATAAATTCGTATCATCTGCAAAAAAAACTGAGTTTAAAATGTTTGAAAAGTTATGGAAATTGTTTACATAAATAAGAAATCGTTTACATAAATAAGAAATAAATCCAGAATTGGATTGAATTCAGAAATGATTCTTTTTTTAACATATATTTCGCTGTTCGTACAATTAAAAAATTAAAATACAAAGAAACACTTTCAAAATGAAAGAAACGTTTTCATAAAATGAAAATAAAACGGTTTATATAAACAGACAGGAACACAAAGAAGATATGGATTAAGTCACCACAATCTTTTCAAACCCTGTTAGGGCTTTTAAAAAGTGTAAAGTAAAATAGAGTTGTTAAAAAATTTATATAAAACTCCGTAAAAATATGAATAACAGGCATCTCCGTAATAAATTTAGAGTAAAAGATAATAAATAGAATAAACTCCTATAAATGTAAACTAGTTTAAATAAAAAATAAAACATAATATAAGAAATTAAGTTTAACGGTATTTAATCCAGTGACTTAAAACAAGTTTCTAAATATGCTAATTGTTTTCTTAAAAATGATAATAAATAATCATCATTATTCTAACAATAAATATGAAAAAACAACAGCAATAAACAAATAAAAATAGCTATAAGCAACAGCAATAAATAATATAAATGATATGTAATATCAAACAAGTTATGTTTACTTGTTTATTTGTCTGCGTAGCAGAAAACCAAGATAAATGGCTGTTCAATCCACATCCACCACAAGCCGCCCAGACCTCTACATTTTTAATTTTGGAATCAAAAAAAGTACAAGTTGTGAGGCAATCAATAGTTTCAAATCCTTTGCAAATTACAAGATGTTTTTTTAAACAAAAAAAATCAGTATTTATAAGTATATTCACAATTGTTTCAGCTTTTGGTCTCTCCTCTAAAATAAAAAAAAAAGATAATAATAAAAGGACGTTATGCATAAAAAAGATCAACCTAAAATTTTCTTGTTTATTACTGAACCTGGATTTTTTCGAAGACAACTCTTTATAAGATCTTCAACATCAGGCCAAGGTTCAAAACCATGAGAAATTAAAGAATCAATAGGTTTGTTATTTAAAACAGCATCTTTAAACTCCTTCTCATAACTTAAATCTCTGAATGGTCTTTGACCATTCGTAACAAGCTCATATATTGTAACTCCATAAGATAAAATATCAACCTAAAACGAACTTTTACATTCAACAAACTCAAAATATGTCCGTTAAATACAAATAACCTAAAAGACCTAGTTAAATTTATATAAAAAGTTAAACCAGTCAGTTTGTAAAGTACAACCTGTTTATTAATATATTATAATTTAATATTACTTTTTAAATTTTAATCTATAATAATTTTTTAAAGTTTTTTAAAATTATTACAAATCAATCAAAATTATTAAAAATTAAACTACTTTTGATATTCTTTAGACTTCTTTTACCTCAGTGCTATATTCACTATCTTCAACTTCAGGAGCTTTGTATTTAGGTGTTCCTTTATTAGCTATAAAACCCTGATACGTTCCATGTTGAGATATACCATAGTCAGAGAGTTTAATATTGACAGGTACAGTTAATGAATATGAAAACACAAGAATATTACTTGGTTTCAAATCTCGATAAACAATGTCATGTTTGTGAATAAAATCCAGACCTTCAGCTATCTAAAAAATCTTTGCTTTTTTAGTTATTGCTTTATTGTAAATCAAATTATTATACAGTATTAGAGTTTTTTTTTTTACTTTGAACAAAAAACCCCACCTGCAAAGCTATTCTATGTTTTAAAGTTTTATTTTTTGAAATCTTTTGTGAAGCTATGGAATCTGCTAAGTTCCCTAAAGGACTATACTCAAGTAGCAGAGCACGGGGACGTATACTCACTCCAATAAACGAAATAAGACAGGGATGATGTAGACGTTTTATAATATCAACTTCATGTCGTAACATGCGATTTGGACAGTTTCCAGAAGATTCATTAAATACCTAAAACAAAAGTAAAAAAATTTATAGTTTAATCATCATCATCATCATCATCATCATCATCATCATCATCATCATCATCATCATCATCATCATCATCATCATCACCATTTCTTTCTTTTTTTAGACTTTTTTTTTTGTACTGATTAAATTAGTGAATTCAATGTATGCAGAAATGTCTAAAAATGTTAGAAAAACCGGTCTAAATTATGCTGGTATGCACAGGAGAGGTGTCTCCAACAAAACATTATAAAGTCAACTTGTTGGTCAAGAATTATTAAGTTTTACTACTAGTAAACAAAAATTAAAAAGATAATGATGACTACTGATACAAAAAACAGCTGAAAAACAACTCTTTATAGAACTTGTTACCAGTTTTGTCCCTTGTCCACAGTTGAGTATTTTCTAAGGCATAGAAAAAAAATTGATGGTAACCCTGAAACTGTTCCTTATACAGTTAATAACAAAGAGATTTAATACCATATGCTATACCAGAGGTCGAATAACATATGTACAATAGCATACATAAAGAAGTTGTTTACAATGGAGCTAAATAGGTATAACAACTCACCGGATTAAGAAAGATCTCAAACATCTGTTGAACTTGCCTGGAATAGTTTCAAAGAATCTCATACCCTTGCCATATTTGCAGAGCAAGTCGTAAACACACATTCTAACTTTGATAAATGTTAGATTCATTAAAGTTATAATTGTATGTTTTTTTTTTAATTCAGAAGTTAGATAAATGAGCTTGATCATCACAGAACTGAAAATAAATTTTATATTGTCAAAGAATTCTATAAATTCCAAGATGATATTAATTAAGATGATAACAAAATGTAGAATCACCAGTAATATTTTCAGCTCCAGCGGAGAAAGCTACAAAAGTTTTATTAAAGTTACTAGGAATGACTATTAGCAGTTCCACATAAAACACGACATGTCAACTTTTGAATATTGGAGTAAAAGAGAATCCCTCTAAATCATGGATATAATTAAATTGCATTGTTTCAAACCAGTGAGTTAGAGGTATTATAAAAATGCAAAAACAAAAACAAAGAAACTTATTGCTTATGTTCCAGATAAACTTCAAAAGGAACTTAATTATTTTCTAGGATTTTTTTTGCCAATGGTTCCGTATATTAAATTTTTTTGTTGTTATTGTTTCTTAAAAAAAAATTCAATTTGCTGAACCCTCAACTAGTAAAAACATCTCGAACTAATAATTTTTTAGATTTCGAATAACTAACAACAAAATGCCAACAAGCTATTCAGTAAGCAGTTATTATCAAGAATGAACAATTTTTTGAAGATGGCTTTTAAACATCTTTGTTAGCGTGTTTAAAACATAATCAAATTATTAAAAACTGTTTAGAGTTGTTAGTAAAATTGCTTCATTGTCTCCAATTAAACATTAGTTTTGAAAATAAGTCTCAACTGCTGCGTCATGGTGAAATAGGTTGTCAGATGAGCATTTTGAACAATTGTTGTTGCTGTAACCCAATCAAGATACTGATTAGATTAATGATAATAAAAATTATTTATTTTCAAGCTGAATTTTTTTTGTTGTTGTTGTTGTTGTTTTTTCAAATTTATGAAACTTTCTATTTTTATTAACTCTAAAGATAAGTTAATTAGGGTTCAATAACTGACTAATGTAATAATTATGTCATTGTCATCTATAAGCTGTAGTTATTAAACTTTTCTAATTTTAAGAATTAAGTTAATAAATTGCATTTTTATTTTCAAATGTACAAATTGCGAAATTTGTTTATGTAACTTATTATTTAATATATTTTTGAGTACAACGACTTGCAAATATAACAAACATAAACATAATCTTGTTATTTTACATTCATTACTTTTTCTAACAACATTTTTTTGAAAGAGTGTATTGAAGCAGTTCATAAAGAAATGTTTACTCGTGAAACTTCAATAAGGTTTAATATACCAAAAAGTATCCATAATAAAATAAATTCAAAACATAAATAGTGCATTGGTGCACTAACCATATTTACTCATATTGAGGAGCATTTATTTTTCATTAGAATCACAGTTATGTGTAATTGAGGATTTCTATTAGATAAACTTGATGTAAAAATGGTGCTGATTTCAAAAAATTTCAATAAATAAAATCACAAAATCAAAACAATAAAAATCATTTCAAAGAAAATAATTGGTGATGATTGGTTTCAAATTTTATGAAGTGTTCACAGTTATCCCATAGAATTGCACCAAACATTAAAAATAAACGTGCAACTTTTCTAACTGCAGTTTTAAACAAAGAGGAATTAAAACTTTATTTTGAAAACATTAAACACGAGCTTAAAAGATTTCCGTCTTATTTACAGGATCATCACGCAAAGTGATGATTCTGTAAATCAAAAAGTTATGAAACGTGAAATGAAGTACCATGAAAAAATAATTCTTCTTTATGATGTTTTGTGGATATGATTAAAGAGAAATTTTGCCACTATAAACAGTTTTTAAATTATTCATTTATTTAAAAGAATCATCGATAAAGCATGGTCCGAAAATTCTTGCTTTAATAGAAGCAAACCTGGTTGGTTTGATAAAGCCAGTTTCGAGAATGGGTTAAAAAATGACTTAAATTTGAAACAGGAGAACCTATTCAAGTGGAAAGTGACAGTGCAATAGAAATAGGAATTGAAGGATAAAGTGAAGTTGACTGTTAAACTATTTGCTATTTAAATTAAGTTCTACTGTTTATTTATTTTTTCTTAAAATCTAATTTATATTGTTTGCACCTATGCTTAAATTCACTGATGCTTAAACTTGCTCATGCTTAAACTCGCTTATGCTTAAAATACTATGTCAAAGTTACGGCTGTACTGACTTAGTTATTCAGTACAGCAGTTTTGTAATACAGCAGTTTTGTATACAGCAGCTTTACCAGTTTGTAAAAAATCTGGTTAAGTCGTAATCATTCATAACCAGTTATAAGCAGTCGTATAAATTTTTAAGTTACAAAAAAAGCAAAACAATTAAAATTTGTATTACAATTTTGTTTCAAATAATTAAATTGTTTTGAGCTTACGATATTTGTTATAGCATAATATTTACTTGAATATTTATAGTCTTAATGTGTATATAATATAAAATTTATATTAAAAAGTTGTTTTAAAAAATATATACATAATGTTTTTCCGTAACAGTGTGGATAATAGGGATTGTAATAACGTTTACCCAAAAATGGCTATTTTTAGTTAATATTTCTTAAAAATTTACCATTTACACTCACAAATTTACCAATAATTTACTGTTATTTACGGTACTTCAATTTTAATTTACCGAATTCAATTTTTACAAAAATTATTCAAAAATTACCGAAACAAGACAAAGCCCGTAAATTTACAAACCCTAGTAAGGGGCCCTAGTAAGGGTCCCTTTAAAAACTTAGTTCTAAAGCCATTTAAGTAAGTTTAATTTTTAAAAAGTAATTTATAACAGCATAATATTTAAAGTAGACTGAATTATTGATAACTATTTACTAGCTAGTTTTAAAGCATGCAAAATATTTTTTTATTTAGGTGGTATTTTGGTAAAAACAAGTTGCTGACATTTTACTGAAATGTAGTTTATGAAAATAACTTCACAATTTTTATAAAAAAAAACAATTTTTATTTTTCGTAAATTTTGTAAAATTAAAACTGGAAATGTTTTTTTGTTTGCAATATAGTTTTTAAGGGAAGCCTCGCTACCCTATTATGGTTACCTTAGTGATTTTGTATTTTGAAAAACTAACTATTAAATGAAACTTGTAAAATAATAATTTTAGTGAAAAAATATTTTTTTAAAGAATACAATACTTTTTTTTTGTATTTTTTAAGCATATACCAAAAATGAGATTGTGTTTTATCAATAATTGGTTTAAAAGATAAAAGTAGTAGAGCAAAGGACATAGATCTACTATGATTCTGGCCTAGACTAGCTGGAGCAAAAAAGATGACAAAATTCGTTTAAAATTGAGGTGAAGTCTTAGTAGTATAACTGTTCCAGCAACAAATCATAATGGCATATTTGTGTTATAGAAAGGAAAGTTTTAAAATGAAGTTTGTAAGGTTTGAAAGCTTTAATCAAAGTAGATTACTCTATTAAAAGTTGGCTGGATTTGTATTAAACAACTGCTCAAACCATCAAGAAGTAATCACAACAAAAATCGTGTTCTAAATAAAATAATCTATTTTTGAATACTTAGTATGTATAAATATCAAAGATTTAGTTCATCTCTAATTAGGGCTGTCCCGAAGAGATTTTAAAGGAAGGGGGGAGGGTTAATTTCTATTACCTGCTTGAACTTTATCTTTTGCTTTCTCGTTTTGCTCAAAACCTACAGCTACATTCTTAGAGAACGTTTATTTTGCAAGAAACTTATTATATCTCTTCAGGATTTTACTTTGTGTAGTAGTTTTTTTTGCCTGATGAAAAAAATGAATAGCTATGAAAAAATTGACTCAACTAACTCTTAATTAACTAACTCTAAATTAGTAAATATTGTTCCAAATCTTGTCTTATATTTGCAATGCTTTGATTTGATATGACGTTTTGGAACAATATCATAGGATAGTTTTTTTTTAATAGTCAGATGTGATTGGTTAAATTCAAATTAATGTAACTACGCTGTATTTTATTTAAAATTATGTTACTTACGAAGACTGTTAAATTAAAAAATGACGTTTTTTACTTCCTTTTTCCCTTTAAGTATATTATACCTCTTTCTTTATCCTACGCTGGGTTTTGACTGCTGGTCTATACCTGAATAACAAATAACCAACTGTGTCGCATTAAACCACGTTAAACAAATACACACTATTTGAAGCCTCAAATCAATAAAACCGACGACATAAAAGTCATTAGTAGACAAACAAATTCATTTATTTTTGTTTACTGTTTGGATATAATATTAAAAAAGAAAAACGTTTAGAAAAAAAAGTTACAGAAGAAATATATTTGAGGCTTTACTTAAATCAAAAAATTAAAACCATAAAACTATATTTAACTTTTACAATTATATTAAAATTAAATTATTTATAAATACCTTTGCAGCAATAAAAGTTCCATCGATTTTTACTTTATATACAGACGCAAAAGCGCCAAATCCCAGCTTATATTTTTTATCCAAAAATTTATTTTTCCATTTTGAAACAACAAGATTACCCAAATCAGCAAATACAGCATCTGGTGCAATGTAGCTTATAGAAGAAAACCGACCGCACTCATTGCATTTAATACTATCAGAATCGTATGAGGAGGCAATGCACATGTTCAAATCAAAACTAAATCGAATATCATTTTTTGACAAAAATATAAGTTTACAATTGTGGCAAGGCACAAGTCGCTTAACAATCCTTTTCTGAGAGATATCATTAAGTCCAGGATACCATTCATCAACTATGCCATCAATGAGATCAATTACACTTACAAAAAGTTGATAACCTACAAAAGACCTTTGGCTTTGAACGTCCAAAATGTTTAAATTTTTTTCATCACCTGATACCAAGCAAAATGACTGTGAGCAATGCAGAAAAACACCATTTTGCCAATAATCCATCTCTAAGTTTAGTTTCTAAAACATTTTAAAATTTATTGGATGGTTAACTGAAAATAAATAAAGAAAGAAAAAAATAAAAACCACTATCAAATAAAAAAATGAAGTCAACAGCAGCAACAAAAAAGTACATCAAATGAAAAAATTTTACTCCTCTAAATTCAGATACATCAAGGTCAACTGTAACTAAACAACCTGATTTATTGCTTTTTTTGTAAAAAAAATAGGACGCTATTTTTTATAGCGAATTTTTGAAATTTATTTTATTAAAATGGACGAATAATAATTAAATTTGCTTAGTGTACTTATATTATGTTATACAAGATCTTTTGCAAACTGATTGCCTGGTTCTGTTTTTATCCAATAACATTCAAAAAACCAAAATATAACATTTGGAATACTAAAACATAAGATTCGGAATACCAAAAAAGCTCATAAAGAGCTATATGAATTGAAAACAATCTTATATATTGCAAACACTGCCTAGATCTCTCCAGTAAAAAAAAAAAAGTATATACTAAGTTATATAACATTTTTATCAATAGAGTTATTATTTTATTAACACCCTTTTTTTCTTTTGAAAAAATTTTTAAACTTGAGTTTGTCATCTAAATATGAACAATCTTTATATATATATAAATGTATATATATATATATATATATATATATATATATATATATATATATATATATATATATATATATATATATATATATATATATATATATATATATATATATATATATATATATATATATATATATATATATATATATATATATATATATATATATATATATATATATATATATATATATATATAATGTATACAGTATAAAGAAAATCTTGATCTGTAAAAACTTTTTCAGCAATTTTTAATTTTTAAAATTTTTAATTTTGTTAATTTTAATTTTTTAACAACAAAATCTGCTTAAATGACATCAACTTTCATGCCATCTTTGAAAATCTGAAACCCGACTTGAAAGTGATATCAAATGTTACTTTATGTCACTGGAAGTGACATCAAATCGTCTTTTTCAAATGAATTCAATTAGCTATTTTTCTATATAATATGGGTTTGTTGTCTTTTTTTATAGCAGCATTGCCAAGCTGATTGGACTTATAGTGTGATAAACAACATTTGAGACAATGACAAAAATTGTCGTTTCCTTTAAATAAATAAGTTATTTATTTATTTCAAAAAATAATTTCTCAAAAATACCTTAAAATAGCTGCAGATGCAACTTTTTCATCAAGTATAACATTTTCATCAAATATACAAGTGTCAGGTCAGGAGTATGGTCTTCATGATCATCCTGCTACTGGTAACATGTAACCCAGTGCAACCTGTTCCATGTTCTGCTGCCTTGCAGGATTTGCTATCTAAGCAAAGGCTGGAAGGAGTGTTCTTCCTGTCATCAGTACTATCTTATATCAGTCATGCCTATAGTAATTGAACCTCTGGCGCGGTGTTCGCTCACCCGTAAGTTACTTTATGTTTATGTTTATGTTTTTTATGTTTTTTTATGTATGCTTGTGTTCTGTCTGAACCTCTGGCACGGTGTTCGCTCACCCGTAAGTTACTTTATGTTTATGTTTATGTTTTTTATGTTTTTTTATGTATGTTTGTGTTCTGTCTGAACCTCTGGCGCGGTGTTCGCTCACCCGTAAGTTACTTTATGTTTTTTATATATGTTTGTGTTCTGTCTGAACCTCTGGCGCGGTGTTGACTCACCCGTAAGTTGATTTATGTTTGTTTGTGTTCTGTTTATACTCTAAGCCAGCGTGAGCTCAGTAACTAACTACTTGCTCCAACTACAAAACGTACACTCACCTTAGACTCCTGTATTTTGTTAGATGCAGTGTTTTTCCTAATGCACTTCCAAAATGTCATGCCTCGTTTTCTCAAAGTACTGTTGCGGGAAGTAGCTCCTTTTAACTACTCCAGGTCAGGTCAGGATAATCGAGATCAATCTTGCTACTGGTATCACGTAACCCAGTACCACCTGCCACAAGCCCTGCTGCCTTGCAGAGTGTGCTCTTCTTATGCAAAGGCTAGGAGAAATAAACTCCGACTAAAAATTCCCCTGCCTTGGGGCTCTTGGTTGAGTAAAGGCTAGAGATGGTGTCTCGATAAAAACACTCATCATGGGCAGATGTTAACTGCATCCAGCTAAACATCCCCTGCCTTGGGGCTCTTGGTTGAGTAAAGGCTAGAGATGGTGTCTCGATAAAAGTACTCATCTTGGGCAGATGTTAACTGCATCCTGCTACTGTCTTGTAGAAAGCCTCCTTAAGCAAAGACTTTAGGGGTAAGCAGAAAAATTCTGCTAACCAGCCTCGAACCCCTTCTTCATCTATTAGGCTGGTGTAGATGTAACCTGTGTTACATTGTTTCCTGCCTAGGATGATGAATGCTGGATTTCCTTGACTCTACTCATAGAATTTTGCTTATGCCTCCTTGATAATGGCTATGCAACTCTTCCTGTTATCTCCATATGAGGGTACAGCTCTAAAACTCAGTTTAATGGTTCTGAGGCCGGCTGGTAGTAAGGTTTCCTGAACTCTGTGGTAGCTCTCAGAGAGGCTGATTCCATCAACAGCTGCAAAAAATCAGAGTATTAACAGTGCCATGTTGCGCATGGATGGTGTCCCTGTTAATGCTTTTGGTGTGCATTGTCAAGGCCACATAAGGAGCCCTATGTCACGGCTTAGGGTTAAGTAACAGGACTGAGACAACTGCATAGCTCATTGATTAGGAGGCTGTGCTCTATCTATGAATGAGTTAAGTTCTCATTAAACCCAAATCATGACCAAAGTAACCAAAAATTTAAAACCTAAAAAAACCATCCCCACCACCTAAATATTTTAATATATCTTTTACAAATATTCGCGGTCTACGAAGCAACTTTCCATCAGTTGAGTCTTACCTCCTGCAAAATTCACCAGACTCTGCAATTCCTTCTTCAGATGTCAGTGTTGATGGACACTATCCTTGGATTCGTAAAGACTCAAATAGTCACATACTAGGTTTAGGGGTATACATACGCATTAATTCCCCTATTTGTCGTGAAATCAAGTTCGAATCCTTTGACCATTCTTTTATGTGCTTTCGCCTAGCACCTCTTCACTCTATCACCTTTCTCTTTGTTCTTTATCGTTCTCCTTCATCCCATGATTGCACTCTTTTAGATGTTATCTCTGATCAAATTGACCATGCCCTCTCTCTTTACCCCTCTGCCAATATGGTTGTTGTTGGTGATTTTAATGCCCATCACACTGAATGGCTTGGCTCTAACACTACTGATCCTGCTGGCATTAAAGCCTTTAACTTCTGCGTTTCTCAATCTCTTACTCAGATAGTTAACTTTGTGACTCATTTTCCTGACAACCCTAATCATTTACCTTCACTCCTTGATTTATGTCTCTGACCCTAGCTTATGTTCAGTTTCTCCCTTTTTTCCCTTAGGTGGTTCTGACCATGCAATGATCTCTATAAATCTTTCTTCTCGTACTTCTTTTTTGGGCTCACCTTATCATTGCACCACCTACTACTACCCTAAAGCTGACTGGGATTCCTTTCGTGATTTTCTTCGTGATGGTCCTTGGGCTGATGTTTTTTCTCTCTCAGCTGACAAATGCGCCTCCTACGTAACCTCCTGGATTCAGGCTGGAATGAAAGCTTTTATTCCTTTGCGTTGGTTTCAAGTCAAGCCTCATTCTACTCCATGGTTTTCTCCTTCTTGTGCGGCTGGTATTTCCAATCGTAACCATTTTTTTCATCTTTTTTAAAAGAACAACTCTCTTGAGAACAAACGGCTATTTATTATTGCAAGAAATCGATGTTAAAAGGTGCTTTCTGATGCTAAACTCCATTATTCTCAGTTCACTAAATCTCGCATCTTATCGCAGAAGTTAGGCTCTAGAGACTTTTGGAAAATCTTCAACATCATTGTTAACAAGGGTAGATCTAACATTCCATCTCTCATTCATTGGACTGATTTTGTTACCTCTCCCAGGGATAAGGCAGAACTGTTTGCAAAGAACTTTTCTTCTAATTCCACTCTTGAATCTTATGGACTCTTCTTTCCATTCCAGTCAAACAGGTTGACCCATTGTTAGACATTCAAATCACTCCGGCTTCTGTTGCTAAAGTCATATCTCAATTAAACTCGTCTACAGCTTGTGGTCCAGACAACATTCCTGTCACAGTCTTGCAGAATTAATATCCAGAACTTTCTTCAATTCTCTCTAAACTATTTAACAAGTATTTGACTGAGTCTTGTTTTCCTGCTTGTTGGAAAATGGTATCTGTGGTTCCAATATTCAAAAACTCTGGAGAAAATTCTGACCCCTCCAATTATCGTCCGATCAGTCTTCTTTCTGTTATTAGCAAGGTCTTTGAGTCTTTGATCAACAAATTCCTCACATCTTATCTTGAGTCAAATAAACTGCTGTCAGACAATCAATACAGTTTTCGATCCTCTCGCTCTACGGCCGACTTGCTAACTGCTGTAACTGAAAGATTTTATCGTGCATTAGATGGAGGCGGTGAGGCTAGGGCTATTGATCTCGACATATCTAAAGCTTTCGACAAAGTTTGGCTTGCTGGTCTTCTCCATAAGCTTGCTTCATATGGTGTTTCTGGGAAAGTTTTTGAGATTATCAAATCATTTCTTTCTGACCGGTTTATTAAAGTCATCCTTGAAAGCCAACACTTTTCTTTATTTGCAGTAACTTCTGGGGTTCCCCAAGGTTCCATCCTGGGCCCTGTTTTGTTTCTTATCTACATAAACAATCTTCCTGACAACCTTTCATCTAAAGTAGCTCTTTTTGCTGATGACTCAACTTTATACTCCTGTCTTGACAATAAGTCTTCTCTTTTCGATCGCCTAGAACAAGCAGCTGATCTTGAATCTGATCTCACTTCAGTAATAGATTGGGGTTCACTGTGGCTTGTGAATTTCAACTCTAAAAAAACCCAATTGCTTACTGCAAACAACTACCGTAATATGGTCAACATTCCTATATTAATGAATGGCAATCCTCTTACTGAGTCGTCCTCTCTACGTCTTCTTGGATTATCGCTTACTACTGACCTTTCATGGAAACCATATATACAATCGATTGCTAAATTAGCTTCTGCTAAGGTTGCTTCTCTTTATCGTGCTCGCCATTTCCTTACTTCTGATTCCATTCTCTACCTCTACAAATCTCTTATTCGTCCCTGTATGGAATACTGTTGTCATATTTGGGCTGGTTCTTCTAACGATTCACTTTCTTTTCTTGACGAGGTCCAAAATCGCATTGTAAATGTTGTTGGACCTGGACTATCTGCTAAGCTTGAATCTCTTTCCCATCGTCGTAAAATTGCATCTCTTTCTCTTTTCTACAGATACTATCATGGTCACTGCTCAAAGGAGTTATCATCTCTAGTTCCATCAACTAAAATTCATTCTCGTTTTACTCGTCATTCAGCTAAGTCTCACTCGTTTACTGTATCTGTCCCTGCATGCTCTAAAAACTTTTATTCATCTAGTTTTTTTCCCCGCACTTCAATCCTTTGGAACTCTCTCCCATCTTTATGTTTTCCTGACTCATACAACTTCAACTTTTCAAGTCTTCTGTCAACCGTTTCCTTGCTCTATAACTCTGTTCTTTTTTTTTCTTAGTTACTCCCAACTTAATAGTGGTTGCTTGCAGTCTTGTTGGGAGTGAATGCAAATAAAAAAAAAAAAAAAAAAGTATTGCCAATGGGAGGTTGCTATTTTGTTTGTTGTTTCCAGGATGACTGAGCTGATAACTAATTTTTCTAGCTTTTTATCAAGGTTCCATTTATAAATAGGAAAAGATTTTACATAAGATTTAGTTCAAAAAATTTATGAAAAAGGTCAATTATTAATTAATAATTGTCCTTTTTCATAAACTTTCATGAGCTAAATCTTATATAAAGAGCTGAGAAATTTTACTCTAAACAAATAAAGGAAAAAGTCCTATATGAAACTCTGAAAATGTATTAAAATTGGTAGAATGGTTTTCTGTAGCAAAGGGTATTACTTTAAAACCTTATTGGTACAATGAGGTATTAAACCTGCTGTGCAACATCGGGTGAATATCTCAAAACATAAGAAAAGCTTTTGGAAGCCTTTTAATGATAAAAACAACAGCACCTTTATAGAGAATACTTTCTGAAAATTCACCAATATATTTACTACATGAAAATTAGGCATTTAAATGCATCTCATCCATAAGAAGCACACAATCAGTTGATATATAATTTTTTTTTTGCAATTAAAGTTTACATAGTTTACGTTTCCTAATTTTCAATTTTGACCTAAGCAAAATCATTTAGGTAAAGAAATATGATAACCCCTATAAAAAAATGAAACAATAAAATCTTTGTTAACATTTATTGACTCAAGCACATTTTGTATGCTTAATGTTTCATTGAATTATACAGTAAACCACATTACCATGAAGTTTTTTAATTAGAGAGCTTTGTTCTGTTAAAGAATCAAGATTAACTATTTTATCAAAAAATTATCTCAACATCTTTACATTTTTGAGCAACTTAACAACATCTTTAAGCAACTTAACAACATCTTTAAGCAACTTAACAACATCTTTAAGCAACTTAACAACATCTTTACATTTTTGAGCAACTTAATTACATTTATAGTCAATGATGCACTTATTTTATTGGTTTAAATAGTTGGAACAGAAAGGAGATTCCATTTAAAAGTACATCCTCTTTTTCTTATTTAATGTTTCATCAAAATTTTTAACGCAAATAGTTGAATAATTCAAGAAACCGAATATTTTATATATACAAAATATATCTAATGTTCTTGCAAACCACTTTCTTTAGGAAAATGACTCATTTCCTTTTTTGGATTATTTTAGGTTTTGTCATAAGACACACATTGTTTGCAATTTTTAAGATAAGAACAAATCTATTTAAAATTATTATTTTTGACATAACTTTTAAGTTTAAAGTTATTAGACTAATAAAGTTGATCGCCCTAAAAAGTTACATTTCTTATCAAATTTATATCCAATGAAATAAAATTAATAAAAATTTAGCAGTATACAGTAAATATAAAAGACTGCCCGTGTGTCTCTTCTATTACTCCACACACTCTAATGAAATACAATGAAGCAGGCAAACAACCAGGGTATAATTAAACATATATATTACATGATAATGAAAGCACACATAAATTTTTTAATATAATAAGCGTTAAAACTACTTTATTTCAATGCAAATATTATCAACCTTTTCAAATGCAAGTTAAGAAGCTGTGGTTAGAGTTCTGGCTCAAAACCGAGAGGTCAGAGATTTGGTGTTGGTTCTGGCCAGATAAGCAAAGTTAAAAAAAAGGAAGGAAGCGTAAACTTCCTTGTTAAATCCTATTTAAGGTGTTCTGTGATAAAGACAAATGGGTTTCGTGGAGCACTTTGATAACTACAAAAAAAAAAAAAAAAAAGGTAAAAAAAAGAAATAAATAAATAAAAAATATAAAATAATTCATAAAAACTTTTACTACTTTGATTACATAAAAATTTTTCTGTAATTAAAGTTGACTGTGGTTGCCTCACAATAATTTTTTTTTTATCTTTTATCTTGTTCGTTTTATTTATCAGATTCGTCTTATCATTTTTCTTCTTACAAATATATTTATATATTTTTTTTTAAAAGTTGTGATTGTAAATCATTTTTTCATCTTTTTCATGAGACTTATCCCCTCTATGAACAAAACATTTTATAATCTTAATTAAATATCAATACAAAAAGATATTGTCTTTCTGAGCTTTTACTCTTTATTTTTTAATACCTCAGGCCTTGCTGTTCTAAATGCTTTTTGGAGGTTCTAGATTAGTCTTTTTTCAAAGTAAAATGTCAAGTTTATTTGTTTATTGTTTGAAATAATCTTAAACTTACGTATATGCAGTTTAACATATCAAATTTTAAGCAGTGATCAGTCAATTATGGAAGGTTAACTAAGAATGAAGTCTGACCGATTGAAAAATTTTAGCTCCATCTTGTAACTTCTTATTTTTTTTATAAATAAAACAAACAACAACATAAAAACATTACTCCGACCATGGTCTGATCAAAAATAATGTTGGTTATGTCACAGAAAATAGAAATAAAAATCATTTTTATTTTTTTTTAAATGAAAGATACTTTGCTTTGAAAGTTTATCTTATTTGGTTTTTTCACGATTTTTTTCTTAAAATGCTATAGCATTAAATCTAATATCCATGTGACAGTTTTCAAAAGTTTCCAATTATTCTTAAACTAAACTTCTTACCATTTTCATTATCTTTAAATCATTAATTAAATTTTTTAAATATCTCATTTTTAATTCAACAACTTGTAGTAATACAGTTTTATTCTGGTGATTAAATAAAAAACAGGTTGCTGGTTTTGACATATCAAGGGTTTTATAGATTGTAGAATCCAAGTCTTACCATAAGCACTTCATATTTTTTTTCAACGGATGCTTTCAAATTATTAAATCATTTATCTTCAGTTGCAACATTAAAGTTATAATTTTTTTCGGTAACATTAGTAAAATCCCAAATTATAAATCTTGGTAATCCCATAATTAAAAATTCTAGATTACTCATCTCCGTAATTTTTTTCTAGATTACTTACCTTTGTAATTTTTTTCGTAAATCGTAAATTTTTTTCTCACAATCTACGTTTCCGTTTTATACATACATTAAGTTAATGGTGGTATAAATAAATGAGGTAGAATGCTTTATACTTTTTAAAAAGTTCCTAGATGGCATTCCAACATATATATAGACTTTAAAAATATACAAAAATAAAATATATAAATAAGAAATCATGAGGTTGGTTCCATCTTAAATTTAGTAATTTTTTTATCTCAGATCAACCAACCAAAAAATAATTTTTTTTTAAAACACAAAAATGATACTAAAAACTTTTTCAGATTACCTCCAGATGTGCACCGGGAGTAAGTTTAGGAAATGAAAGTATACGTGCTAATAACCTCGGCCAAAACCCAATAGGAATATGCGGGAAATCGTATCTCCTGGTTATTACATTTGGATCTTCGAAATAACTTAATTTAGCTTCTGTCAGATGCTGGGGAAAAGAACTCTGTAATTTTGATGTCACCAAATACTCGTCTTGTGATATCGGTAGCAAAACTTCAAATCTTTGCAACAACCTTAATAATTAAACATAAAATGCAAGTAAATTTTAAAACATATTTTTTAAAAAGCAAACAATCTTTTTTTTTAAATACCGAAAAAATAGTTCCAAAAAATGTTGAGTAAAACAAGGCTCTGGGAAGAGCTTAAATGAATCAGGTTTAGATAAAATGCCTCCTTGTGTAATATAAGGATTAATTTCCTTAATAGTGACAACACGAGCCATCATTTGACAAAACCATTGTGGATCAATAAATATATAGTTCTTTAAATCATAAAACGGATCTTTAAAGTTTAGTATTGATCCTAAAAAATGCAACATTTCCATATTTAAAAAAAAAGTCATTCCCTCAACAAAGATTAGTTTAAACATGTATTTCATATTGACTCACCGGTTTCAGCCAGAAACATTAAAGCTCTGTTGAATTCATCGGTTTCTAGTTGTAATCCGTGATTGATTGAATCCTGGTGCAAACTTTTTTTACTGAGCATAGGTAGTTCTCCAGATCTTTGCAATGTTTTTGCTTTTCGAAAAATAAAGTTTTCAAGTTTAACATAGCTTTGAGGAACCATTTTTTCCAAATTAGGCGTTTCCTCAAACATAAACTTTCTTATACATTTATAGATTTCCTTTCTGAGAAGTACAATTGTATTATTTTCTTTTGTGCAGTCAACGGTAGTAGTTGTATGAAAAGTTGGAAATCCAGAACTATGCAAAAACGATTTCGTAAATGCATTTAGAGATTGCAGATTCTCTTGAATACACTTATCTGCATGTGTTCCTACTAAAATAACTTTTGAATAAGGAGCAACAATTTGTATATTTAATAACCAAGGAGTAAGCTTTTTCAATTCTTCTTCACCTTTACTTGCATTATAAACTGCTAAGTATAAAGCTCGAGAACTAAGAAAATAACGATGAGTACTGTAAAAATCCTCTTGGCCAGCGAAATCCCAAGCGTTTACTAAAAATGATGGACTTCTTGAACGTGTATTTTTAAAATCAAAACCAGGTGATTTTAAAATAAAACTTTTTACTTCAATTCCTACTGTAGCAAGTTTGTTTGATGAATGAGATTGTTTTGAAAGCTGTGAAATAAGAGAGGTTTTTCCTCGTCCAGCTAATCCTACTAACATCAACTTTATGCATCGGTATGGAACAGAATTTTCAAGTTTTGAACGAAAGTACGAAACTAAATCTTTAGGAGTTCCATTTAAAACAGCAGTACTATGGCGTAAATTCAACCCATTCAACGGAAACTGATACAAGTTGCTTAATTTACCAATTTCATCTGGCAGAGTTTTCAATTGTTTGTTATAACTAACATTAAGTACGCATAAAGAGCTTAATTCTCCAATATATTTTGGTAAGGCTTTGATTTTATTATTTGAAATAATTAATGTTGATATTTTTGGCCATAAAAATTTAGAATATTTGTTTAAAGGTAATTCTTTTATATCATTATTTGAAAAGTTTAATACTCTAATTTTTTTAGATGACCAGTAATGCAAATCAGGAAGACATTTTAAAGAATTATTTGAAATATCAAGACAGATCAAAGATGGTAAGTCCAAAACGAATTTGGGCATGAAAAAAGGGCCTTTAGCTGCAAGTTTATTGTGCGATAAATTTAAGTTGGTAAGTTGTAGCAAAGTTGATGGAGTATAATTTGGTAAATCTTTTAAAGAGTTATGAGATAGATCTAGCTTTTTTAACGAAACAAAACATTCAATAGATCGAGAAAGTATTTTAGTCAGTTGGTTAAAACTCAAAATTAGTGTTTTTAAAGAAATAAACTCTTCAGATATAAGCAAGACTGTAATGTTATTTTTTGACAGGGATAAGTGTTGAAGACGTGGAAACTTCTGTAGAAAACATACTGGAAATTTGGTTAGTTTATTGTCACTTATGTCAATTTTTTTTAATGATAATATAACAGGAATCATGTCTAATTCAATTGTCAATATATGATTTGACGAAACATTGAGTTCTTCAATATTCTTTTGTTTTAAAAGACTGTATGGAAGTTGTTTTAAATTATTACTTGAAGCACGTAAATACTTTAATGATTTTAATAAAGAACAAAATCCTTTTGTTAGTTCATTTATTCCATTATTACTCACATCTAATTTTACCAAATTATTAAAAAAATCAATCAATGTCAAATTTACACTAATTGCTAAATTTTCCAGATCACTTATTTTGTTGTTTGAAATATCCAAGTTTAAGATGCATTCATCAATATCGGATTGATTTTGAATTGAAGTAATCTTTTGTATTTGAGTTGGACTTGAAATATTGCGAGATCTTTTCAAATTAGCATGATCATCGCAATACTTAGCAAAATCGAACTCTAAATTTTCAGATAAGTAATTCAAATTACGAGGATCCAAATTGTTAAACGGAAGTCTCGAAACAGCTAAAAATTTGGCACTTCTAGTAATTTTGTTGTCTTTTAACACTTTATTATTTTTACAAAACAATATGAACTCTGATTCCTTACCCAAATTTATATTAAACAATTCAGAACTAGGTCTTGTACTCTTTCTACTTTGTAGTATTGACGGAAGGAAATATTCTTCCCTCAAGTAAGAAATGTTTAATGCACTCCATGTTATAGCTCTATTAACTTCTTCAAATCCAATGTAACATAGCAATATGCCTACAATTTCATGTAAATTCTTTTCAAGGGCACAATGAAGTGCTTCAGAAATATCAGATGGTTTTAAAGTAAGCAAAAGTTCAACAATTTCAATATGATTGTTTGTAACAGCAATACATAAAGCGCTTTCATCATTAGAACTAGAGTTAAAATCTGCTCCCCATTCAACAAGTAACTTAAAGCATTTTTTAAAACCATAAAAACAAGCACGTTGAAAAAGTACATTTGTGATACCTTGTTCAAATGCCAAACTGCTCAAGCAAAGTTTTGCAAGTGATGAAAGCATTGGGTCTGATTTTTCAAAAATAAATAATAAAATCTCGTGAACATTGTTTTTAATAAGAGCCTCGTATTTATCAAATGAACAATCAGCAAGGAGAAGAACCATAGCAACCAACCCTTCTACTTGGATACTATAATTTACCAAGATTCTGAAATTTTTTATAGTAAAACAAATAGAACATTGAAATAACAAGAGTAAAAAATTATTCAATTTTATTTATAGTTTTAAAATTTTTTTTTTAAATAATAGTTAATTGTTTTGTTAAGTTGAAAATGTAAATGTAACAAATTTTTAAAAATTTTAACAATTGTTTCACAGTTGTGTTCGTTTGGTCATGTTTCCAAATTGCCATTTGCTTATTTAAATATGATATTAAGGAGGAGTATATGCAATTTTTACAATCAGATGTCAGTATGGCTTAAACCTGTTTTTCAATTAAACTGTTTGTAAGTTCATTGCGATACAACTAGGAAGATTACTGTTCAAGGATTACAATCTTCTCCAAAACTTAATTAAAGATTTTGCATTAGAATTATCCTTCTCCTTGGTAAGTTGCCTTCACAATGACTGAGGATTTAAACGTCAGTTTTTTTTTAAAAAAAAGATCTTCACTTCCAACTAGAGTTGGAAGATATTGGAAGAGTAAAGCTCAAGTTAATGAAGCAAGATAACAGTTAACAGACAATTTAAAAGACTGCAAATTATATGAATCAGAAATACAAGATGAAAAGAACGAATTCCAAAGAACTGATGTTCGAGGAAAAAAACTAGACATAAAAGAGTTTTTGAAACACTTAGGAACAGTAAAGGATGAGACATAATTGAATGACGAGTAACAAGAAAATAGATTTTAATTGATGGCGCAAGAGACGCCAGCTCTATAGAGCAGCGCCTGTTATAGTATCTATTGTTAAGAGAAAGAGAAGCAACGTATTTGACGATGCAACAATAGTTAAAGCCTGACTGCAATAGCAGATTCAACTATGTTTACAATGTGTTTTTGCACCTTATCTAAAAGAGAAAGAGCATCATTTAAAGATTTGCCCAGATATGCCAACAGCATTCCATACAAAGACGAATTTAAAATTTATAGAGATAAAGAATAGCATCCGGAGTAAAAAAGTAGCTAGCACCAAAAAGAAATGGAATCTAGCAGATGCTAATTAGCTAGCACCATAAAGAAATGGAATCTAGCAGATGCTAATTAGCTAGCACCATAAAGAAATGGAAGCAGATGCTAATTTTGCAATCGATTTAATATATGGTTTTCAAGAAAAATCGGAGGTAAAAACTAATTGTGGAAGACGAAGGGTATTTGACTCATCGAGTACATTACCGTTATAGGAATAAAAATATAGGAAGATTTAGACTATTACAATAACAATTAGCTGAAAAAAATTGAGTTTTATCTGAATTAAAGTTCACCTGCTACTGAAAGCCCCATGCTGTAGCAGAAGTGAGATCCTCTTTAAGCTTAAATACTACCTCCAAGCAATCAGAGAGTGTTGGCTTCTTATTAAGACAAGAATAGGTGGTAGTATCATTGGCGCCCAATACCACCCATCGGCGCCCAATACCACCTTAGTTGTAAAAATTTCTGGGAGATGGTTATTGTAAATTAAAATATTTTGAGCCGAAGATAGAACCTTGAGAAGTACTTTTGAAAATACAGAAGATGAAGAAGAGTGCTATCCATCGACGACAACATTTATACTGCAAATGGTAAGGAAAGTTAATAATCTTAAAGATGTTATCTGACGCACTGTAAGAAAAGAGTTTATAAAGAAGAACAGCATGCCAAACTTTATCAAAAATTTTAGAAATGTCTCTATATCTATTTCATGCCCAACAAAACCTATCAGTTATTAACGTTAAAAAATCAGACTCAAAACACAGGTATTACAAACTTGACTCAAAACACAAGTATAACAAACGCCAGTAAACTATCTAACAGTCTAAATACCTCATTACTATTAATAAAGTCTAAGCCGTAACAAAGGGCTCAAAATGTGGCCTCAACAATACACACCCAAAGATCAACAGATCGAATCTGTTTACCCTTAAAATCTTTGACTAGAGGCCTTCTACAAGACAGTTGCCGGATGCAGTTAACGTCTGCCCAAGATATTTATTTTTATCAAAATACCATCTCTAGATTTTACTCAAACACAAGCGCCAAGGCACAAGTTAAGTCAGAGTTGGCATCACCTATGGAACCTAAGTTAGCATCACCTAGGGAACCTAGGTTGGCATCACCTAGGGAACCTAGGTTGGCATCACCTAGCGAACCTAGGTTGGCATCACCTAGGGAACCTAGGTTGGCATCACCTAGGGAACCTAGGTTGGCATCACCTAGCTTTGGCTAAAAAAAGCAATAAGGCAGAATTAATATGTATTGTTATTTGACAATTTTTGATGTTATTACTGTGCACTAATAAATTTTCGTTATACTGGATTACGATATCATTTAGCAAAATAAGCAAATATATATATTGATGGAGTCAAACAATCAGCTGAAGCTAGTAAAAAAAATAGTAGCATACTTTATTTACTTTTAAGTTAATCAATAAACTAAAAAACAGTTTTTTTTATATATATTGACTTTTCTGGCCTTTTCTGAAGCAAACTTCTTTATCACTGCTGCGAAATCAGTTGATGTTACTATGTCACTTTCAATGCATAATAAAGCCAAATCATTTAAGCGAAATGTTAATCTAAGTTCATTCTTAACTCATTTAAGGACAGAGTTTTTTAGTTCTCGAGTACTGTTTGTGACCATAAGACATTCGTAAAAGTATCTGTCAAACTGTTTTTAAGTTTAACGTCCAATAGATAGAAATGTGACGTCATGCTGAAGACTAATTATAAAATATAATAATTATTAAATACCCATTAATAGCATCTTTAATCATCGCTACAATTTCACTAAACACATCTTTTTGTTCAATGAAACTTTTATGAACAGCTATTAATTGAATTATCACACAAGCTTTCAGATTTATACCTTCATTAAATTGGTAAAACCTCATAACATTGTGAATACTTTGGATGTTAGCCAGTTTAAGAAGCATTTCTTCTTGATATGGAAAGAAATACGCTAAAGAAATTACAAAAGTTTAAATTAAAAAGGTGAAAAAATGAAAACGCTTAAACAATTTATAGTATAGCACTCCTTAATAAAATCACAGTGAAAAAATGGGCACTTCAATAGTAGTTTAAGATAACTTAAAAAGTAGTTATAAATAAATTAAAAAAAAGTCATAAATAACTTAAAGGACTAAATTTCTATAACTTCGCTAAATGTGAAATATTTTGAACATTATTATTTAAAACTAAATAAATTTACCCAACAGCACAAAAGATTAAAAGGTGCTATATGTAGAATCCCGTTAACTCAGACCCTGGATAAATTGGACTTTTACTAAGTTGGACAAATTTTTAATTCCCCTTGAACTTTCTATATCAAGTTACTATAAAATCATGCGCTTAAGTTGTACCCTAGTTAAGTCAAACTATTCGCTAACTTAAACTGTTTTTTTATGGTGTCTTCGTCAACAAATTTCGCTTTACAAGGACTTTTATTGTGAATTGCATATAAGTGTATATAACACTACGCTAAATCCAAAAATGATCTCAGTTTTTCTCTATCATATCAAGTTTTTGAACTATAGGGTTTGAATTTTGAGTCCACATCTTACCATACAATAGAAAATTAAATAGTTGGGCTAGACAGAAATGTTTATTAAACACAAATAATGTTTTTACAAATAATATACTGAAAATAAAAATTTTGCAAGTAGGTAAAAATGTAAGTTTATAGCTTTTTCTAGAATGTTCTGCTTGAGAACTATTGCGTTTAACGCTTCAACAAAAGTCGGCCATCATATGTACTTCTTATCTATCTTAATAAGGTTCTTCCATAACCTTCAAATCTTGATGAAATTGTTATCCTTGCTCATCAATGACAGCACTAAGATTTTCAGAAAAATTGGCAAGATGGCAATGCAGACAGTATAGTTTAATACTCGTATTGCAACCAAGTCCTTTATAATTTTCCAATTATAATTTTCCATTTTTTTTGTAATTATGTGGGCGTGTATTTCCTAGAAAGTTCTTGAAGATGTATTTAAATGATATCCAAGAATATTTATCAAAATCTGACATAGTACTGGTGAAATGTTTATCTTTGATAAGCTGTCGAATTTGAGAACCATCAAAGACACTAGCTCCAATATTTTCAATTGATTGTCTAGGAATTGCAATGACAATGTAATTAAAATAGTCGCCATCCGTTGGCAGTGCTTCCACAAGTTGCTTCATGAAACCTAATTTTATGTGCAAAGGTGGAAGTATTATTTTCTGTCAACAAGTGGTTTATGTAAAATATTTGGATCTCCAGGCTTAAGATAAACTGTAGGGGGCCAGTTTGTTTTAACCTAATGCCTATCTCGCGCTCTGCTATCCCACATACGGAGAAAGCAAGGGTACTTTGTGTAACAACTTTGCTGACCAAGAAGTAAGCACACCACTTTAAGTTCAACACAAGTTGTTCACTGATGCTTCTCATATTCTGACAACTCGATGAATTTCTTTACATATCCATATTCTTCACGAAGACAAACAGAATGTCCAACAGGCACTGCACCAAATAAATTGTCATTGTGTAGCAGGACAGACTTCAAGATATCAATAAAAATTCTTCATTCAATTGGGTTTTTGTCTGAAAGTCCCAATTCTTTCAGTAAACCAGACATATATTATGTCAAAACACAAAACCACTACTAATTTGAAAGCACTACAGAAATTAACTTTTTCAAGTTCGAAAGTAAAATACTTTTACTCCTTGTTCTAGTAAGTTTTTCTCATTTAGTCTTAATGCTAGGATTTCTGAATCTTTTTTCGATAGGCTTAAATCCCGTGCCAAATCATTCAGCTCGGGCTGATTAAACCCCTTACGAGCTGAATTGTGATGTTCAAAATCTGCATCATTCCAATAACTGCCTTCTTCAATATTGCTTATACCTTCAAGAGAAGATAATTGTTTGAATACTGGCACTGGAATTTCATTTGAACGGCACATTGGTTTTATAGCTGATGGCAAAATAGGATAAACTATTTTACTTTCATTTTTTTGTTGAAACCTGATGTTTTTCACCGGACAAAAATAACAGTCTGTGGTATGATCATTTTTCCTCCGCCAAACCATGGAAATCCCAAATGCTTTACCGTAAACTATCTTGATCACCAAGTTTTTTATTGAAATATGCAAAATAAACTTATTTAAAAAACCCATTGATGTTTGTCTTTTGACTTAGAATAGTGAAGTTACAACAAATATAGCAAAATGAATCGGGAATATTTAGGCATTTACGACGAAAAGTAGAGAAACAGATATGATCTGAAATAAAGGAAATATATACTTCTAAAAAATATTTAGATATAAAACTTACATGTTTTGAAAACAAAAAAATTGAAACAAAATGTAGCTTGTAGCCCCGACAAACTATTTTTGTAGAAGGTAGACGAATCTAATTGTAGTCAGCTAGTAACTCTTTTACGGTGAAACTTGTATAAACTTGTATAAACTAAAGTGCAGATGGTGGAGATAAAATTTGACGTACAAGAAAAAAACCGATTTCAGTTTTGGAATCAGCATGTCAATTTTAGTCAAACCTGGCCCCAAGCTAAATTCAATAAAAACCTTTTTTTCAATTTTTCCCCAATGTAATATTAAAAATTCGAATACTGAAATCAAAATTTTAAACTTTGAACGCTAAAATACCTTTGCGTCAAATATAACTAAACATAAATAAACATTTTTACTGATATCTTCCATTCTGATTAAATTCTATTTATTATTGACAATTATATTAAAAATTCAAAAACATCAATTATAATTCAAAACTTAAAACGCTCAAAAAACTTTTGCATTAATTATTTTAACGAATTGAACATTTTCACTGATATCTTCGATTTGTCTAATTTTCGATTAATTTTTACTTATTAAAAATGTTATTAAAAAAAAGCAAACAAGTAGAACTAAAACAGAAAAATACGAAATTAAAACTCAAAAAAGGAAAACCATTTGTATTTATATCAAAGAAATATAGCATTCCAAAGCTAACATTGTCTGGATGTTCAACAGATAAAAACACAATATATTCAGAAATCAGAAAAAATAAAACTTCTTCAAATAGAGTGAGGATGCAAATCTCCCTAAATGAGGATTTGGTTAAAGCATGTTATAGTGTCATTCTGTGTCAATAAGTTTCTCGATAAGTTGGACATTTTCAGAAAGTCCGTCATAACGAGAGCTTCGCCTAATTCCGACATTCGCTAAGTCGCACAAAAAATATATATTCCTTAAGAGTCCGAGTTAACGGGATTCTACTCTATTTTATAAATTAGAAAGTTCTATTTTATAAATTAAACTAATAAATAAATTTGCTATACATCATTATTTTTATTTATAACGTTAAAAGAATTTAATTGCGCTCATTCTACATTGATAAGATCTTAAAAAAAAGGAGAAAAAGAAGGAGAAAAAGAAGAAGGCTAGGAGGCTAAAGGAGAAAAAGAAGAACGTCTATATACATATGCCAGAAAACAATTCAAACAAATTGCTATTTGATGGCATAAATAGTAACATTTTTGTTTTTTGTTAAGTTCATGGTTCTACATCTGTTTTGTTAAACAGGTTTTTAGACCTGTGTAGCTGAACAGATTTAAATTTTTAGCCAAAAAAATAAAAAATTCAAAAATAAAATTGATCAAAAATTATATTTTCGCAATCTTATACCCAGGGGCCAACTTTTCCCAATAAAGAGGTAAGTTAACCCAGCAACATGACCTAAAATTAAAAATGTATTGAAAACCATATATGAAAATTAATAATATTATTTTACTTACACGTTTTCATTTTTAAAGTTTGTCAAGCGAGCAGAAAAGGACAAGATTTTAGCATAAATTCACAGAAATTACAAGATGATCTGATGCTACACAATAAAACTGTTATGAGATAATCTAATGCTACACACTGAAACTGTTTACAAAATCAAAATGCTTATAGTGTTAAAGAAAATAACATATTTTTATGACAATCTATGTTATATTCCAATAAAGTTCTCTTTTTAATTAACGTTTAATTAAAATAGTTTTTTAAGTTGTTTTAAAACAATATAAGCAATCATGGCGAATAAAAGATGGAAAAAATTTGTAAGCAACATTTAGAGTTAGTTTATCGTTATTTTTTCATGTTGAGCTTTTTGAATAAACAATAAAAAATTTCTAGATTAGAGTTGAATTAATAAATGTCTAGATAAAAATTGGTAGTAATTTTGCCGGATTTACGAAAAGGTATTTTATATCTCTAAACTTAAAATATAGCAATTTGTTTATAATTCCAACAAAAATACTAAAAAAACGTTCTTTAAAAACATAACAAATCTATAGCAAAACAAAAGATAAGGTACAAACAAGTAGTAGATATTATCTAAAACTTTGATGTATTGATGTATTCAAAAACGATTACTTTTCGTAGATCGTGGTTTTCGTTATGATCATTTTTTGATTGTTCGAACTGTTGTTAAAAATTTATTAAGTCAACTTTTAAAATAGTAATTTAGCTAAAATGTAATAATTGATTGCCAAATATTGCAAAGAACTTTCAACTTTATCTTTCAATTTTTTTAAGACTAAAAAAGATCTTTGCGATCTGTGTGAAAAATTAAATTTTTCGTTTAGTAGTAAAAAATATTAAAAATCAAAGCCACATAATTAACAAAGTGTTAAAGCAGGTGATAAAAAACAGAACAAAACGGAGAAGCGCATCTGAGTAGACATACTTTGCTATGTCTAACGCCTGCAGCAGATACTGTAGTATCCAAAATAACGCGACAGTCATATTGTAAAATAAAAGCCTTCAGGTATCTAATGATTTTAGTTCTTTTTTGTTTCAATTCATTAAATATATACATATATATACATATATATATATATATATATATATATATATATATATATATATATATATATATATATATATATATATATATATATATATATATATATATATATATATACATATATATATATATA